TATAAACGATAACTACACATTAAAGGATGCATGATGCAACTATACATAAAACATTAATGCTTTGAATCATTTATCTTATAGGTGACTACCAAAAGAAAGCACACGATCGTTCCATGAGTCCTGTTATTCCAAGGTTAGTTATTTGGAAATATGAATGCATGAAGCTTTGAAGCTTTTCCATGCTATTTTGTGTGTACTTTCCATATACAGAAATGTTCAGTTGTATAAAACCATAAACACATCGTCCCAAAATGTATTTAAGCCACACTTGTACTTAAAAATCGAATATATATATATATATATAAGTAGCTATTATATATTTCTCTCTGTAATGCAATGCATTTGAACATTTTGAAGTGTCACTTAAGTGCCTAAATACTTTTTGTCATGTTAGGGCATAATTCTGTTCTTAATTGCAATTATGCATTGCAATTAAGGTCATTGATGGAAATGTTTCAGTATAGTTTATTGCAGTGTCTACTCTTGTGAAAAAGAAGTATACTTTAGCACATGTTTGAAAAAGAGTTCACATGGACATAATATACTTTAAAACAACATAATTGCTTGAAATTGATCTGGTGTTTTGGACCCTTCATTGCATGTTAATTGCAATTAAGTGAAAATGTATTAGTTTAAAGTTCAGCTAATTGCATTTAATAAAAGTTTGGAGTGATTTTGACCCACTTAAGTAGGACTTAACCACATATGTATTAAATTTCATAATTACTTCTACACTTCTATTGACTTTGAAATATAGTTAAAGTGCACTCCCGAATGTACTGACAAGCATTGATGGTAAACAAAATATACTTTAATGTAATTTCTATTGAAACTTTTATGTCACGTATTTGAAAGTTGAAGTTTAGTACAGTTAAAATATATGGATTTAAATGATAAATGTTATTATTTATAAATAAATGTAATATCGAATAACATACTACAGTTAAAATTCTAATCAATTACTTTGTGCTTCAGTATCTTAGTCAACAATAAAAAAAAAGTGTACTTCTTTAAAGCACGAGAAAGGATTATTAAAACGATCTAAAATGTACATGTATATAAAACTTTTAATTTGACATTATTACAAAGTACACTTTTTAAAAATGTAAAGAAACATTTAACACAAGTCATTTAACTGGCCTATTATTTGATATAATATTATCTGGAAGTATAATTTTTTTACTTTTAAGATTTGAAGTACACTACAATTAAGCACACTTCTTTTTCACTCGGGTCATATGGGCAATTATAAGGTAGTTATTAAATATAAACCGACCTATGTTTCCTCCTGCAGAGGGCAAGCTTTTAGATACATTCCTAGTAAGGAGAAGATGGAAAAGACTGAGGTAGAACGACCACGTGTGGTAAACGGGAACCCCATCCCTCCTTATTTCACCAAGACCAGCAGTTCGGAGTGGAACAGCTCCGATGACCTAGCCGGTCCCTTTTCCGAGCAGGAGGATTCGTCGTCACATGCCGACATGCCTCCTCAGGTTCCCTCTCGGACTTCATCTCACGCCGCAGGTCCACCGTTGCCTCCAAAACCACATATCTTGAGTTCAGAGAACCGACGACACCTCCAGCAAGATCCCTGCCCACCCAGTCCTCAGCGCTCGGCCCTGTCCCAGAGCGTCCAGCAGAAGTGGCTGGAGAACTCGCCTGAATCGCACATGAACTCGTCGGACACGAGCTCCAAGTCTGGCTCCTCTGATCAGGAGAGGAATGATCTGTCAGCTAGTGAGGGTGAGGAGAAGTTCTCCATCTTTCCTAAGCCTGTGGTCGGCTCTCCTGGGATCCCCACCACTTATTTCTCTGTGGATAACTGCATGACGGACACTTACCGTGCCAAGTACTATAAAAAGAGACCCGGGCTTCATGTGGTGGTCGACTCCAGAGCCGGGGATCACACCTCATCTGGTGAAAGTGATTATGGGGAAAGAGTGTCACCATCTTCTTCAGAAACACAGGCACCATCGCACACCAGAGTCATAGCTAGCGCAGGTAATGAGTCTCAAATACATATACACCTCATGGTATAGATAGACCAAAAGACAAACAAATAGATAGACGATGGTATAGATGGATGGATAGATCAGGTTCTCTGATGCTGATTAATGGTCACATGACATGCAGTTAAACAAATAAAATGTGTGTTTAGTATGTTGATTTGTCTTTATTTATCTTTATTTGGCAATTCTATGATTGAATTATTTATTAGCTTTTTATGAACTCACTAACCAGAGTTCCTTCACAAACCAGAGTTGGAGAAACCCTGAATCCCTTTTTCTTTTTTTATATCAATATGGTAATAATAAGATTGCCCTATTCAAATCAATATTAATGAGTTGGGTTAAAAGTAACCAGAAAGTAGTCAGAATACTATACCTAAAATGTATTACCAACTACAATTCCCATCCAATCTGTATCGGACTACAATTTGTACGTAATCTACCCAACACTGTGTAGATATTTTACTGATAGACATTCTTATGAGCTGCCAGGAATAAAGTTGGACTTTTAACACTAGTCTGATAATACTGATATAATGTTCTTTTTCCTTTCAGCTCATGCTTCCAGTAAACCCACTGCAAAATGGAACCCCGTTTCAGTGAAAGGACTGGATGAACACGGCTTTCTATGACATCAGGTGTCATGTGTGAAACACACAGCGCTAGTGATGAAGCGTGGACGCTGAGATCACTGGATGTTCAATGGCCTTCTCTTAGAACATGTCCTTCTACACTTTGGGTTGCGTGTGGCAGTATCAAACTGTACATTTGCACATTTTCAAGCCAAAAGAGAACAATATTACCTAACTTAGAAGAAAATATTCCATAGCACTCCGAAGGCTCAAATGTATTTGATGACTAACTAATTAAGAATAACAAAATTAACAAAAGTGAAAGAATAAGAGTGATGGATTGTCTTCCGACCCCACGGTTTCTGTTCACTGCTTCTGATTTTCTCTTAAATTGTTTAACGTTTCGATTGCTTTTGGACGGCAGAGCTGCTAAAGGATTTGATTGTATTTTCAGAGGGTGAAGCTGCTAAATGTGAAACCATTCCTGTATTTGGTAAGAACTCGTTTAAATGATTCATGGCCTTTTTTGTCGGTTTAGGTGTGTGATATCTATTTTTTTATTTTATTAAATGAGTCCCTGGTCAGTTATTAAAATGGGCCATTTTAAATATTGTCACCCTTCTATCATGTTGTTTTTCAACCAATGTGCACAGAAATCATGGACACTGGAGATCGAAATGTATGTCATTTGTTTGTAAATGGTGGAACTTGACTTTATTTGGGCACATGAAATGTTTTTTGTTTTTTTCATATTTGGAACAAGTTGTACATTGTCATTTAGTTTTTATTTGTATGATATTTTGTATATTGCTTGGCAGAACACTGAATAGTGCCTTATTTTATACGTAAAGATGGGATAAAGGTGTTTTTATCTTATGTTAACTTTTATAATATTGTAGTTCATTTTGGTTAAGAACTTTTAATAAACTGATTTATTTAAGCATAACATGGTTGCCTAATTTGTGTGAATATTACACAATATACACTAAGACGCTTCTTTTAAAAACATTTGAATGTTATTCTCACCAAGGCTGTATTTATTTGATAAAAAAAAATACAGTAAAACAGTAATAGTGAAATATTATTTAAAAAAAATTCAAATAACCATTTTATATTTGAATATATTTTAAAAATGTAATTTATTCCTGTGACGTAAAGCTGAATTTTTTCAGAATCATTTCTCCAGTCTTCAGTGTCACATGATTCTTCAGAAATGATTCTAATATGCTGATTTGCTGCTCTAGAAACATTCATTATTATCAGTGTTGTGCTGATTAATATTTTTGTGGTAACTGTGATAGTTTTTCATGATTCTTTGACTAATATGAAGTTCATAGACATTTTTTGTAATACTGTAAAATGCATCCTTGCTGAATAAAAATTAATTTCTTAGTAGTAAAAAAAAACTATTGAACCCAGACTTTCAAACAGTAGTTCTTAAAAATAAAATAAAATATTGCTTATCAATGTAAATCTCTTGTTATGAACTATATGCATACTATTTATTTTAAGATTTATTTAAATTCGACAACTGAGTGTCTAGAATATTTATTGTAATTCTTCTAAGATGTATATTCAGTTCCGGACACAATTATTAGGTAGCAATAATTTCCATAGAAATCAAAATAATAGAGCATTAATTTCAGATGTCATTAATATGTCAGGAATTTTTATTCTAAAGTAGGGGTCTTTGCAGTGACAGTATTCATATATATATAGCCATCATTTAGTGAACTAATGAACTAAAAAACTAATGCTAGCTAAAAAATTCTACATAGCTTCAAAATCTAAGACCATTTCTTGAAAATCGGTCCCATAACATACAGAGCACAAACAGTAATAAATACATAGAGATTGAGTAGCATATATTACATTTACATTACAACACATGATGGTCCTCTGAGTTAGAAAAGATGTGGGCTGAATCCGAAATCGCACATTTCACTACTATATAGTATGTAAAAATCAGTATGTGAAAGTAGCATGTCCGAGTTCACAGTACTCAAAAGAGTAGGTGAAAAATACCAGGATGACCTACTACTTCTGGCGAGATTCTGAAGTGTGCATATGGACACTTTACTATCCCATGAGGCCACGGGAGAGGATTTATGAATGGCGGTGAAGCGACGCAACTGACGCTGATAGGTCACATGATAATGACAACATGGCGAATATAGTACGTCCGGATTACATTCATACTATATAGAACATTCTTTTTTTAGCGGTTGTGAAGTAATTGTTCAAAATAAGTACCTACTCAAGAGTGCGATTTCAGACACAGCCGTGGTCACGTCACCCTTGGACTAAGAAACAGTGAGTTGACAGCAAACAGTTGTTAATGTGAATCAAACCTCATTACAGGAGTCATGATTACTGTGCACTACAGAGTGAGGAAGTTCCCTCACATGCTGTGAGCAGTCTTACATTTTAACATAACACACATAACGGTGTCCCTTTCCTTTCTTGCAGTCTCGTATCTGCCATTTCGTCTTCCTCCAGACCAGGACACACTTCCTGGTTCCCTTCTTCCTGTTTTTTGGAGGGCTCCGCCTCCAGTTGGTGTAAGTGACCGGCTCTCCACCCACCCACTCCCAGCGGCCTTTACTTTCACGATCATTCAGACCTGTGGTTCAAGAAAAATCGAGCGATGAGTTCATGTTTTAAATCGTATTGCGCTAAAGAACCTTAACAAAAGTTATATTCAATGTAATCACACTGACTGCAGTGCGAAGTTAGTTTTATTCACAAAAAAAAGTTACCAATCCAAAAGGGTTTTCTTTCACTGAAGTCCCACAGCCAGTCCATGTCTCCTTTTGACAAAACACTGACCAGGTTTCCATTGAAGCTTGAGGAAACAAGTATTTAGTTAGTCAACATGAAAGTCACAAACTTGACCATTCTTATTTTTTATTGATTACTAGTGTTTATTTAAATTTATAAATAAATATGTCAAGTCCAGGGTTGCCAAGTCCGTGACAGAATTGGGCTACTTTTAAACTGTTGCCGTAGGTTGTTATTTTTTACCACGTGGGTTATAGGTTTGACAAATCTTTTTTATACATTTATATTTGACTTAAAAAAACGCTTGTATTGAAATATACTATAATATACAAATGATAAAAGTGTGCTAGATGTTAAGTTTGTTTATGATCACTACGATATACCTAGTTGTTTTCAATTTGGATATTAGTGACTGTAAAATATGTAAGAATGGCATATTTTGAGTTGATATTTAGAATATGGTCATTGGGCTACTTTTAGGCTATTTTTAATTGGCCATTAGGCTAGTTTTGTTACGCAGATCTGGCAACCCTGATCAAGGCCCACCCTACTTTTTTGCTTGTTCGAGAAGCCATTCCACTCAGATGTCACAATAGGGAAGAAAAGACTTGTTTCATGCCAACTTTTAAAAAATCACACATATTTGATATCCTCCGACTGGATGAAATCAAAGACTAAAGCAAAAAAAAAAAAAAAAAAAACAGGTCCATCATACACTATACAATTTTCTGTGAAATCTGTCGAATCAAATCAGCAGACTGGCTCTGATATTCAGAAACTACTGTCGACTCATCCAGACTGCAGATCGGGACACAAGTCTTGGAGTGTATTCCAGCCTTATAAGTCATAACTGGTGATATTATTGTTTTTTTAGTGTGTTGTCTTACCTTTCTCTGCAGGCCCGCACCGCAGTGCTCCACGTGGCTTTGCGCTCTGTGCTCAGAATATAACAGAAGTCGTTGTGGTACGTCCATCCTCGAGGACATTTCTGTGCTTTCACAGTCTGAGCGAGTACAGAAAAGACGAAAATTAGTATTTTAGTAACATGAAATATTCAAATCATCTCATGAAATGTAGAAACTGAAGATCCAGACAGCATGATTTACTCTGAATATGAATGTGAATGACCTCATTAGTAGGTGTCCAGGGCCTCCAGGAGACTCCATTACAGTGAAACATCTGACCTGAGCTGTCGTTGTAGTGGAGGAAGCCACTGAGCTCTGGAGTACAGGGTTTAGAAGAAGGCTGGGGGAGAGAGGCACCAAACACGCAGGTTTATTTGCAGAAGATTACTCTAATTCTTCTGACGATTTCTAGACGCACGCACAAAACTCTCACCCGAGTCCCAGAAGGCTGCAGAACTCTGTCCGTTTGCTGTAGTTTTGTCCTGAGCGCAGGAGCGTGATGCTGCCCCCAGCTGGTCACCTGCACCTGTGCCTTTCTGTCAGTCCTGGAGTCAGCGTTGTCCTCCACCGCCATCGATACCATACCGTGATACTGTAAGTTATTGATCATATTAATATGATGTTAATAATAATAACAAAATGACAGTATCAAAATGTAAGATAAATAATGTTCTTGGATGTAACCCAGATATATCTAGTCACAACTGTAGCTACACGTCTCCTCTACTGCCACGGTTTTATTCCACTTACTTTGTAAATGACATCAGATCCATCACGAATAATTTCCGAAGGCTGAACCTGAGGATGAAAGTGCTTTAGAGTATTCAGAATATATATATATATATATATATATATATATATATATATATATATATATATATATATATATATATATATATATATATATATATATATATAAAGTGTAAACAAATTAAATTTAGATTTAATAAAAATTAAATAAATGTTGCCATGGCAGCTAAGAAAAATTAACTGGAAGTACTGAAATTACTAAAACTTAAATGACAATAAAGCTTAAAAGGAATAGAAGATTATATTTCTAAATAGAAACCGCAAATATTTAAAAGCTATTAAAAACCTTTTTTGTACCATAAAAGTATATAAATAACACCAAAATAACACTAGATAGATAGATTTGTGGGATGCACATCCAGGGCACGAAGCTCCCGTTCCACCACATCCCAAAGATGCTCTATTGGGTTGATATCTGGTGACTGTGGAGGCCATTTTAGTACAGTGAACTCATTGTCATGTTCAAGGAACCAATTTGAAATGATTCGAGCTTTGTGACATGGTGCATTATCCTGCTGGAAGTAGCCATCAGAGGATGGGTACATGGTGGCCATAAAGGGATGGACATGGTCAGAAACAATGCTCAGGTAGGCCGTGGCATTTAAACGATGCCCAATTGGCACTAAGGGGCCTAAAGTGTGCCAATAAAACATCCCCCACACCATTACACCACCACCACCAGCCTGCACAGTGGTAACAAGGCATGATGGATCCATGTTCTCAATTCTGGTTACGCCAAATTCTGACTCTACCATCTGAATGTCTCACCAGAAATCGAGACTCATCAGACCAGGCAACATTTTTCCAGTCTTCAACTGTCCAATTTTGGTGAGCTCTTGCAAATTATAGCCTCCTTTTCCTATTTGTAGTGGAGATGAGTGGTACCCGGTGGGGTCTTCTGCTGTTGTAGCCCATCCGCCTCAAGGTTGTGCGTGTTGTGGCTTCACAAATGCTTTGCTGCATACCTCGGTTGTAACGAGTGGTTATTTCAGTCAAAGTTGCTCTTCTATCAGCTTGAATCAGTCGGCCCATTCTCCTCTGACCTCTAGCATCTACAAGGCATTTTCGCCCACAGGACTGCCGCATACTGGATGTTTTTCCCATTTCACACCATTCTTTGTAAACCCTAGAAATGGTTGTGCGTGAAAATCCCAGTAACTGAGCAGATTGTGAAATACTCAGACCGGCCCATCTGGCACCAACAACCACGCCACGCTCAAAATTGCTTAAATCCCCTTTCTTTCCCATTCTGACATTCAGTTTGGAGTTCAGGAGATTGTCTTGACCAGGACCACACCCCTAAATGCATTGAAGCAACTGCCATGTGATTGGTTGATTAGATAATTGTATTAATGAGAAATTGAACAGGTGTTCCAAATAATCCTTTAGGTGAGTGTATATATGTGTGTGTGTGTGTGTGTGTGTGTGTGTGTGTGTGTGTGTGTGTGGCCTGGTAAACCTTACGTTATGGAGACAAAATGTCCCCACAAGGATGGCAATATCCGAAATCCTTGTTCGTGTGGGGACATTTTTTGGTCCCCATGAGGAAATCAGCTTATAAATCATACTAAGTGATGTTGTTTGAAAATGTAAAAATGCAGAATGTTTCCTGTGATGGGTAGGTTTAGGGATAGGGTTAGTGTAAGGGAATAGAATATACAGTCTGTACAGTATAAAAATCATTATGTCTATGGAAAGTCCCCATAAAACATGAAAACACAACATGTGTGTGTGTGTGTGTATGTATGTATGTGTGTTTAATCATATTAACTTACCACTTTTCCATTCCCAATGACTCTGAGTGTTTTCTTTGTAGTGGAGGGAGCTTCAGCTGTTATATCTCCATCACCTCTGATATAGCCCTGAGAGAAAGGTAATGTCTCCACCTGGATGGAGCCGTGTTGAGGGTACGGACCTGGCTCAACCTCCCGGCCTTGAATACTAGTTCCTGCTTTGATTCGGGTCTCTCTGCACTGCCCTTTAGAAACACCCAACAAATGACCTTACAAACATAACATAACATGTGGCGTTTCATCTTTATGTGAACAAAGTAGGATCCGAATGTTTTGCTATATTCATTAAAGGAACTGTTCAACCAAATATATGGTCTTCTGGACAATCTGCACTCACCATTTGTGTCCTTTATGAAGATGGTGGCTTTTGATTTGTCTTTCAGCATTGCACCCACCGGAGATATCAAGGTAACCTCAAATTTCTCATCACCTTCCTCTAAAGAATCCTGAACCATCTCCACTCTCCATCCTCGACTGACCATCCCTGAGAAAAGACAAGAGGACACGTTAGCAATGATTAAAGCATTGAATTAGCTTTTGTAGTATCTTATTGTAGCATCTTCAATTCATTTCATTATTTTATTTATTTAAAGGGGTGGTTGATTATGATTTCTCTTTTCTAACTTTAGTTAGAGTGTAATGTTGCTGTTTGAGCATAAACAACGTCTGCAAAATTACAACGCTCAAAGTTCAAAGCAAAGGAAGATATTTGCTTTTACAGAAATCGCTTTTTAGGGACTACAAAAAACGGCTGGTAGGGACTACAATGAGCTTCTTCACGGGTTCTAACCCCAAAATTTACATAAACCTCCACCCCAGGAACGTGATTTATAGATTATCATGACACTCCACATCAGCTACATAAATACATTAACTAACCAATTCAGAAATGTCCTGTTGCATTCTACATGTTGTCACTTCTTCTTGAGTCTCTCTATCTTTGTCCGACTCCATTTTGAACATAAAAGGCTACAAGTTTTTGAAATGTTCAGTGATGTCAGAGCTGCTAACACACAAGCTCCGCCCTCTGTGCAGCTCATTTGCATTTAAAGGGACAAACACAAAAACAGCGTGTTTTTTGCTCACCCTCAAAAAGTGACAATTTTAACATGCTATATAAAATATCTGTGGGGTATTTTGAGCTAAAACTTCAAATACACACTTTGGGGATATCAGAGACTTATTTTACATCTTGTGAAAAGGGCATTATACCACCCCTTTAAGAAAACCCTAAGAAAATCCCAGTGTTTCAAATTACCTGGGTCAAACTGAATCAAAGATGAAGCCGGTATAAAATCCTTTCCAGCAGATGCTGTTAGTTCTTTCACCTATGGAGAAGAAAATATATATATATATATATATATATATATTAAAATCCTTTTTTGCAGAAGAATAAAAAACAATCAAATAAACCACAACAAATAAAGCTATACGCAATACCTGTACAGTCACATAAGACGAGTCCTGCACATTCCCCTTCCTCTGGATGGTTAGTGAGACTGACCCCTGACTCTCACATATGATATACTCAGTCCTGGTCAGCTCCACACTGGCCCAGCTAAACTCCAATCTAACAGAGGGAATAATATTTATTACAAATCCTAATATACACAAACAACATGCCATTCAAGTATACAGTATGTGTGGAGGTGTTATTGCTATAAGAAATGACTATTTATGGGCAATGGAAATACAACTTTTTACACAAAAAAACAACATTTCAAAGCGCAAGGTTTACTTGTGAGAAAGTCCAGATTTGCCCAGTGCATCAGACACGGCAAACTCCAGGCTGTCAGTTAAAGAGTCTAGAGCAGAGTTTATGATGTAGAGGATATTCCTTCTGTTCAGATCCCTCTGAGAGAAACGATGCCTCACAAACTCACCTACGGACATGTCAAAGATTATACAGGATGTAAACACATTATTACAGACAGGAAGACTAGATCTAGATAGATGGATACACAGACAGACAGACATATAGTTAGACAGACAGACCGCTCACCATTGGTATAATTTTCCAGGTATCCAAAGTAAGGCGGTCTGAGGATGTGATAGATCAGATCACCATCTGCAGAGTTCTTATCCTGAGCCTTAAGCTCTCTGGAGGATATAAAGATCCCATAACGACCATCTTTGAGGAGCTCCACTTTCCACAGGGTTTCCAACACTGCTATCTGTGGAGCTGAGCTGTCGAGAGCTTCAATCTGTGGCACACACATCATTTCAGCAGGATTAAAAGTTGGAAAACAATGACAGGATACAAGTTATGTTGGATATGCATTGAACAATGTATGAAAAAATATAAATATGTACAATCGAAGCACTTACTGCACTCTCACAGCTAATTAGGTGTCAAGACCTATATATATGGTCAAACATTCAAAAAAGGTATTTTTATTAGGGCTGTCAAACGATTAATCGCGATTAATCGCATCCAAAGTAAAAGTTTGTGTTTACATAATATATGTGTGTGTACTGTGTATAATTATTTTTAATACATAAATACCCACACATGCATGTGTATTTAAGAAATATTTGCATGTATATACTGTATATAGACTGAATGTAGCCTATATATAATGTATATTTTATATAAATATAAAAATGTTATATATAAATAACATATTTTTCTTAAATATATACATGTGTGCATTTATATACAAAATAATTATACACAGTACACACACATATATTATGTAAACACAAACTTTTATTTTGGATGCGATTAATCGTGATTAATCGTTTGACAGCCCTAATTTTTATAGATTGTTGTTTAAATGAGGATTATGATTATTTAAAATTATTGATGGCACTTTACAATAAGGTTCATTAGTTAACATTAGTTAACTACCTTAGTTAACATGACCTAAGAATGAACAATACTTCTACAGCATTTATTAATCTCAGTTAATATTAATTTCAACATTTACTAATACGTTATTAAAATCAAAGGCTGTATTTGTTAACATCAGTTAATGCACTGTGAACTAACATGAACAAATAATGAACAGCTGCTGTATTTTTATTAACTAATATTAACAAAGATGAATAAATACTGTAACAAATTAATTACTCATTGTAAGTTCATGTTAGTTAATACATTGACTGATGTTAACTAATGAACCTCATTGTAAAGTGTTACCAAATTATTTTGGTCACAATGTTTATGAATGGCATTTTTTCCTGATGTTTTATTGTTCCTATTATTATTATTGATTTGTTGTTCCAGATGGAGTTGAAATAGAGTCTGTGAATTGATTGTCTGATTATGATCACCTGAAGATTTGTAGTGTTTTCTATATAACCACTGAATTGTTACACTGACGAAGGCAGACAGTCGAAATGTCTGCATTGTTTTTTTATCTCCTGCTTGAACTTGATAAAAAAAAAAGTTACAATGCAAACCTTTTTGAATTTTTAAAAATAGGTACAACAAAAAAAGTTGTACCAAACCAAATGATTGCAACTAACTTGCAGAGTGAAGAAGAGCGGCTCAGTTTGCACGTGTCCGTCCAGCAGGAAGCCTCTTTCTGTGCTGTCAGAGGCTGTGAATCTGAAGCGATCGATCTGAGAAGCTCCTCCAGAGTGTCTGTATGAAACAGCCAGATCCTGAATGTTCTGCTGGGTAAAACTGCTAGCAGCGACCAGTGTCTGTCCCTTCAAAAGCAACTGGCCATACTGGGGAGGGTGTACCACCCTGTAGCTCAAGGCAGTGTGTGGGCTGTCAGGATCAGACAGGAATAAGGCATCAGGTGTCAAAGTTATGGTGGACCCCTGGGGAACCCGTAGACCAGTGTTATGCACTAGTGTGGGGAGAACCTTATCAGTCATTTCCACTAAGATCTCCAGGGTCCCGTTGCGAGTTGATATGCCATTGCTGACCACAAACCTATGAATAAAGTAGACATATGGAGCAAAGACACAAAGCACAAATCAATAATCTTTATGGGACATTAATCACAGCTGCACAGAAATTCAATAAAATGAAAGGTTCAATAAAAGGTTACTCACATCTGTATATTATTATTTTACCCCACAATAAATAAATATAGAAATAAGTAAGAAATTATATTTTGACAGTATTCACAATATATATATATATAAATATACAGTATATACATACATACATACACACAGATTGTTATTATTTAATTAATATTGGTTTAGTTACAGTACTTATGTGTGCAAATTGTGCTTATATATTAATTATTAATTATGAATAATTGTTTTAATTAATTATTTTTAATTATTAATTGAGTGCAAATTGTGCTTAATTATCACAAAGATAATTAAACAATTCCTAAATGTTTTTTTAACATTATTGAATCATTATACAAAACATTTTAATATTTAAATAAATATTATTTTTATTATTTATTTAGATTTTGGGGGAGTAACTCTAAAAATAAAACTATAACATTATTTTGCAAGATAAAAAAAAAAAAAAGGTTGATGAAGAACGCAGACTGCATCAGTCTTGCATGAGGTCCTTACTGCAGGGTCTCTTTAGGTGAAGTGGCTCTGTTGTCATGTACATAACACACCAGGTTTGCTGCTACGTCCAGCTGACTGAACGACTGAATTTGCATGCCGGTGTGTTTGATGTACTCCACATGACCATGTGCTGGAGGTACAGTGATGACATAGAGCAGCTCCTCCGGCTTGTCAGTGCCGTCCACCGCCAGCAAGACGTCTGTGGTGAGAACCACACGCTCCCCTCGACTAGACCTCACAGGCTTCAGGAACAATGCTATGTCTCCTGCAGATCAGCACAGAGCAGACTTGAAAAGAACTGACTCAATTGAACACTTTTATGATAACTCTTGGAATATAGGATGCATATCATCAGGAAATAAAAAGCAGCAGCCCACCTTTCTCCAGTTCTTTGACTGTAATGTGGAAGTGCTGAGCAGGAGAGCGGTTCTTGCCGTCCAACAGGTGAAAGACAAAGAAGTCGTCAGCGGGTGCTCCAGGATTACTGGTGTGAAGGTACCGTAACAGGTTCATATCCAAAACCTGCTGAGAGCAGTTCATTCCTGCAGATACAGACACCCAGTCTGTGCCGACCTGGGGAACAGCTAACATTCTGGATTTGCTCACACACACACATACACTCACCTAAAGGATTATTAGGAACACCATACTAATACTGTGTTTGACCCCCTTTCGCCTTCAGAACTGCCTTAATTCTACGTGGCATTGATTCAACAAGGTGCTGAAAGCATTCTTTAGAAATGTTGGCCCATATTGATAGGATAGCATCTTGCAGTTGATGGATACTTGTGGGATGCACATCCAGGGCACGAAGCTCCCGTTCCACCACATCCCAAAGATGCTCTATTGGGTTGAGATCTGGTGACTGTGGGGGCCATTTTAGTACAGTGAACTCATTGTCATGTTCAAGAAACCAATTTGAAATTATTCGAGCTTTGTGACATGGTGCATTATCCTGCTGGAAGTAGCCATCAGAGGATGGGTACATGGTGGCCATAAAGGGATGGACATGGTCAGAAACAATGCTCAGGTAGGCCGTGGCATTTAAACGATGCCCAATTGGCACTAAGGGGCCTAAAGTGTGCCAAGAAAACATCCCCCACACCATTACACCACCACCACCAGCCTGCACAGTGGTAACAAGGCATGATGGATCCATGTTCTCATTCTGGTTACGCCAAATTCTGACTCTACCATCTGAATGTCTCAACAGAAATCAAGACTCATCAGACCAGGCAACATTTTTCCAGTCTTCAACTGTCCAATTTTGGTGAGCTCTTGCAAATTGTAGCCTCTTTTTCCTATTTGTAGTGGAGATGAGTGGTACCCGGTGGGGTCTTCTGCTGTTGTAGCCCATCCGCCTCAAGGTTGTGTGTGTTGTGGCTTCACAAATGCTTTTCTGCATACCTCGGTTGTAACGAGTGGTTATTTCAGTCAAAGTTGCTCTTCTATCAGCTTGAATCAGTCGGCCCATTCTCCTCTGACCTCTAGCATCTACAAGGCATTTTCGCCCACAGGACTGCCGCATACTGGATGTTTTTCCCTTTTCACACCATTCTTTGTAAACCCTAGAAATGGTTGTGCGTGAAAATCCCAGTAACTGAGCAGATTGTGAAATACTCAGACCGGCCCGTCTGGCACCAACAACCACGCCACGCTCAAAATTGCTTAAATCACCTTTCTTTCCCATTCTGACATTCAGTTTGGAGTTTAGGAGATTGTCTTGACCAGGACCACACCCCTAAATGCATTGAAGCCACTGCCATGTGATTGGTTGATTAGATAATTCCATTAATGAGAAATTGAACAGGTGTTCCAAATAATCCTTTAGGTGAGTGTATATATATATAAATATATAATATTTCATGTTCTGAGAAAAATTTCTCAGAGACTTTGGTATTTTTGGAAGTAAGAGATTAGATATTTTTCTCACTGCATATTGAGCGAACTGACCTTCATCTGAATGACACCATGACTCGGTATGCTCTCAAAAACATAGACGATGTCAGAAGAAGAAGTGTCTTTGTCGTGAGCACTAAGCACAGCACTGGAGATCAGTCTGGACTCCCCAGCCTCCATCTCAAGGCCAGTGTTCCTGCAAATAAATTATAGTGTGTGTCTTTCTTTTCCACAGAGACTTACCACTTAATGTGATAGGCTATAATGTCTTGAATGTATTGTGTATTGAGCAATTCATAATATATATGTTTCAACAAATAAACTAATGTATAATTTATTGATGAATAAAAGCATGATTTACTTCAATAATATTTATCTGCAATTACCGTATAATTTGTGGCTCCTCATCATTGACAGGCAGTACTTTAACCTGCATGTGTTTCTGGAGCTGGTGTTTTCCGTCAGAGAGCTGAACAATAAATCCGTCCTGCTCACTCTCAGAGTCATCGTGCATGTACATCAGAGTCATGCCTGAGGACAGAGTAACACAAAATATATTGTCTGATATATTACAACAACAAAAAAAAAAAAAAAGTTGGGGATGCATTAAATCATGCAACAAGGACCCATTAAATTAATCAAAAGTGAGAGTAAAAGATTTTCAGTGATATACCATATATATACACACACACACACACACACACACACACACAGTAGGTAGTCAACCAAAATGTCTTTTACTACCACAGGTGTGCCCAGTCACATGTGACGCTCATTCGCGAAATCACCACTAGGTGGCGCAAAGGGACTTGGAAAACTGCTCAGTAATTGTGACGTTTTTACTTGCAAATGAAGATAAAATAATGAAATTACTGGTAATGCATGTATATATATATATATATTACAACTACTATATCATCAATATATTGCTTTGGCTGTAGTCAAAACAAAAACGTAAAAGACTTTAAAGTACAGTACCACTCCTGAGGTCATCCATAGTGAAGTGCTCCACAGGGATCTCAGATCCGCGCTTGTAATGCGTCACATCATTGCCGTGTGGGACACTCATGATGGAGCCGTGCTGAGGCTGCTGGACTATGCTGAACATTAAACGGTCTCTGGGAACATCAAGATCCACCGCACTGATTATAGATGGGTCCAACTCTTTCATGTCTCCCTCCCGAACCTAAAAGACAAGCATTGGTCATCAGACCTCAACTGATTAGAGCAGTGTTTCTTGATACAGATCATGCCAAATGACACGTTTGAGCTTCTGGAGGAACCAATGAGGTTCATTCTCGTGTTATGCATCACGTTTGAGCTTCTGGAGGAACCAATGAGGTTCATTCTCGTGTTATGCAGCACGTTTGAGCTTCTGGAGGAACCAATGAGGTTCATTCTCGTGTTACGCAGCACGTTTGAGCTTCTGGAGGAACCAATGAGGTTCATTCTCGTGTTACGCAGCACGTTTGAGCTTCTGGAGGAACCAATGAGGTTCATTCTCGTGTTACGCAGCACGTTTGAGGTTCTGGAGGAACCAATGAGGTTCATTCTCGTGTTACGCAGCACGTTTGAGCTTCTGGAGGAACCAATGAGGTTCATTCTCGTGTTACGCAGCACGTTTGAGCTTCTGGAGGAACCAATGAAGTTCATTCTCGTGTTACGCATCACGTTTGAGCTTCTGGAGGAACCAATGAAGTTCATTCTCGTGTTACGCAGCACGTTTGAGCTTCTGGAGGAACCAATGAGGTTCATTCTCGTGTTACGCAGCACGTTTGAGCTTCTGGAGGAACCAATGAGGTTCATTCTCGTGTTACGCAGCACGTTTGAGCTTCTGGAGGAACCAATGAGGTTCATTCTCGTGTTACGCAGCACGTTTGAGCTTCTGGAGGAACCAATGAGGTTCATTCTCGTGTTACGCAGCACGTTTGAGCTTCTGGAGGAACCAATGAGGTTCATTCTCGTGTTACGCATCACGTTTGAGCTTCTGGAGGAACCAATGAGGTTCATTCTCGTGTTACGCAGCACGTTTGAGCTTCTGGAGGAACCAATGAAGTTCATTCTCGTGTTACGCAGCACGTTTGAGCTTCTGGAGGAACCAATGAAGTTCATTCTCGTGTTACGCATCACGTTTGAGCTTCTGGAGGAACCAATGAGGTTCATTCTCGTGTTACGAATCACGTTTGAGCTTCTGGAGGAACCAATGAGGTTCATTCTCGTGTTACGCAGCACGTTTGAGCTTCTGGAGGAACCAATGAGGTTCATTCTCGTGTTATGCAGCACGTTTGAGCTTCTGGAGGAACCAATGAGGTTCATTCTCGTGTTATGCAGCACCAGAGCCATATAGAGTGAGAGTTGCGACAATTCCATTGACTCCAATGGAACGTTTTTTTTTACAGCAATGGCGGTTCGCAGAGCCTCTCAATAGTTCCCGGAAGTAGCAGCAGCGCGGTAGAGTTACAGCAGAACAGACCGTTTGTGATGCACTTTTAAAAGGTAAGACGTTTAAAGAATAAGATTGTATATTATCAGTACATCTGAATCAAATTAACTTGTAACTTTAACTGTATTAAAGCATGCTAGTTGATTATTGCTCTCTAAATTAGTAGTTTTAGGGGACGTTATCAGGTAAAATAAAGGTCATTGGATAAAGTTAGTACCGCATAACAACAGCATATTAATGTTTAAACCCGTTCTATTAATGCATGTTTATCCTTTGTTGTATAATAAGAGGGAAATACTTCTAAACAGAGGTTAAATATAACATTGGGGAGTGTGATAGTTGTAATTGATAAAATGAGAATATCGGTTTCATTCCATATTAAATGTGCATTAACGGGGAAAAATCCTTATTTTATATTTCATATTTGAGTAAGGAAAAACGTATGGTTGGCGTTTTTTATTCATTGTGTTTCTGTTGATTATTACCTTTCTATATTATGATTTAGCTCAGCTGATTTGTATTGTACTGATTTGTATTTACTGACGCTGTACCCTCATCAATCTCAGCTCCTTGGATTTTGCAAGACTTTACTTGCTCCCTATTTTTAATAAACATTAAACTTCGCAGTGTTGGTCTTTGTGGAAAAAGTGCAGATACACCTAAGTATGATTAGCACAAAAAATGATTAGTTCTATTTAGATTGCTCCTGACTTGAGCATATTTTCTGTGTCTGACAACATAGAGGAAAGGCCAGACAACATGCTTGACGTGCAGTTTATTAGACATTTATAAATCCCATTGTGCTAATTCAGTGCAAAAGTGTATATATGTCATTGACAAATAAACAAATTACATCAGTTTTGAAAAGATTAAAAAAAACATTTCTTTGTTTATTTGTCAATGATATATATATATATATATATATATAGAGAGACAGAGAGAGAGAGAGAGAGAGAGAGGTCATTGACAAATAAACAAATAAATGTTTTTTTTTAAATCTTTTCAAAACTGATGTAATTTGTTTATTTGTCAATTGTCAATTTTTTGACCAGGTAAAATAAGTGTTTTCTTACAATACTAATGAGAATTTTTAATTAAAGTATATTACAAACTTTTAATTTAGACAATTCATTTTTTTATGATTAAAACACCATTTAAATTAGTATTTTAGTCTGTTCATTTGTGCGGACAGTTACACAACCTGACATTTTGGGGGGTTTAAGATAACAAAACATAAAATATATATTATCTAAATGTACTAAAAATGAATTTAAACTAAATAGGTTTTATAGATTAAAGTGATGTATGTCATGAATTTATCAAATTATGTTAAAGGGGTCATATAATGCCATTTTTGTACAAGCTAATATGATTCTTTAGGGTCTAAATTAAAAGTTTGTAATATACTTTAATTAAAAATTCTCATTAGTATTGTAAGAAAACACTTATTTTACCTGGTCAAAAACAGCTCTGTTTTCAGCACGCCGTTTCAGTGCATATGACTTTAAATGATAATGAGCTTCGCTCACCCCGCCTCTCTGTTCTGTGTACACCGTTTGTAACACAATAACACAATAACCACGCGTTGTTCATTATAAACGTGGGATTATGAATTATATTGAGAACGTTGTACATAGAAAACATGCTGTAATGTACCCTGAGTGTAAACCGACGCATTCATCGTGAAGCGTGCAGCTGGCGATTTGCAAAGATTAATATAAATATTAATATAAAGATTAATAAAACGTTACACTCACTTTAGTTCTTCTGAAGGTTCAGCAGGAAGACGAATAGGTTCCGATCCTTTATTCAGGTGCAGCTTCTCAGCAAAACCAGCTTTACACTGATCCTCGTTTATAAAGCAGTCCACTGAGAAATGATTCGGCAAACATGAGAGCATTGACGTTGCTCGTGGGGAATATTCCCTTCGAAAACAAACTCAGCCACTGCGTCTTCAGCGGTTCGGATTTAGGAACATTAAAATGACTGCTGTGTTCGTTATTGCACCCAAGAACAGAACACCACAATCGCTTCGACGCCATTCTGCTCATAGACAGTGCTCCAGCATATCAACAATGACCGCGCCGGTCCGCGCGGACTATGATTGACAGGACGAGCGAGGGCGGGTCTGTGTTGAATCACTGCTGTCAATCAACAATCGTGGGAGGGGCGTCCGTTTTATTGACGTCACAAAAACGAACGGCTCAATTTGAGGCAGGGGAAAACATATAAGGAGATTAAAACAAAAATACTGGATGGATTTTTATCATTATATGATGGTTGTGTACAGGCACTGCCAACACACATTTCAGTACAATCAACTTGTAAAAGTGCATGTACCATTATATGACCCCTTTAAGGAAATAATGTACTTGGACACTTAGAAAATAATGTATGTGTGTGTGTATAATCATGTTTTGTTTTAAAATGAAATATATTATGTATTCATTTATATAGTAATAAGTGCATAAGCATTGTAAACATTACGATGAATGCAATTTTACATTTTACTTGTTTGCAATGGCTTTTTAAGACAATCACCTGTTTCCTGGAAGTCTCCTGTCCTTGTGAAACCATAGTGAACATTACATGATAACCCTTAAATAACATACCAGTTTAAGAACACAAAAATACTTCAAAACAACTGCAAAACGGTCTTTAACCAAGGTAAAGTTAGCTAGAAAATATGTTAACAAAGGCAGGCAACACTGGTTGACCACAATAAACATTAAATATCAGCAGATTTTTATCTTTTAAAAACAATATTGCTGTAACTACACACACATACTACATCCAAATGTCAATGTATTATATACATATTGTAAACAAACGCATTTATTGACTACAAACTACCAAAAATCACAGTTCAGCTCTCTACCTCCATCGATTTGAATTGGCGCCGAAGCACTTCCTGGAACTTTCTGAGGTCTCCGCGAATCACGTGACAACCAAGCATTTAGAACTTCCGTTGTCGCAACTCTCTCTCTATATGGCTCTGTGCAGCACGTTTGAGCTTCTGGAGGAACCAATGAAGTTCATTCTCGTGTTACGCAGCACGTTTGAGCTTCTGGAGGAACCAATGAAGTTCATTCTCGTGTTACGCATCACGATTGAGCTTCTGGAGGAACCAATGAGGTTCATTCTCGTGTTACGCAGCACGTTTGAGCTTCTGGAGGAACCAATGAGGTTCATTCTCGTGTTACGCAGCACGTTTGAGCTTCTGGAGGAACCAATGAAGTTCATTCTCGTGTTACGCATCACGTTTGAGCTTCTGGAGGAACCAATGAGGTTCATTCTCGTGTTACGCAGCACGTTTGAGCTTCTGGAGGAACCAATGAAGTTCATTCTCGTGTTATGCATCACGTTTGAGCTTCCGGAGGAACCAATGAAGTTCATTCTCGTGTTACGCATCACGATTGAGCTTCTGGAGGAACCAATGAGGTTCATTCTCGTGTTACGCAGCACGTTTGAGCTTCTGCAAGAACCAATGAGGTTCATTCTCGTGTTACGCAGCACGTTTGAGCTTCTGGAGGAACCAATGAAGTTCATTCTCGTGTTACGCAGCACGTTTGAGCTTCTGGAGGAACCAATGAAGTTCATTCTCGTGTTACGCAGCACGTTTGAGCTTCTGGAGGAACCAATGAAGTTCATTCTCGTGTTACGCATCACGTTTGAGCTTCTGCAAGAACCAATGAGGTTCATTCTCGTGTTACGCAGCACGTTTGAGCTTCTGCAAGAACCAA